AGCCAGGACCAAGCAAGGGTCTCCCTGCAGCCCTAGTAGTCTTCATTAGACAAATACAATGGCTACACGCCATTGTATCCTTGATTACAACATACTGTGCTCTGGCTGTTTACGTCAGCGTGAGTACATGTATTAGTATTAGTTGGATGTCCACAGATATACAAACAAATACATAAACAGCTATGCTTCCACACACCTTGCTTAGTGCTGAGTTCCTCTGTCTCTTCATCATGCTGCTCAGTTCAGTGGTGTGCACAAGGAAAATCTAACTTGAAGGTCAAATTCATAGCTCAGTTCATACAAACTTCATAGTAAAATTCATTTTTGGCCTCAGTCTGTGTAGAAAAAGTCACACCCCTAAATCTGAGACCCATCATGCAGCTAGGGATTTCTCAAAGACAGGTTCTTGTGAAATTTCAGAGCTAACACAAAAATAGCCATTTCATTTATTGCTCTATTCCAGTTTATGCTGTTGTAAGGCAACCTCGACCCACCTTCTGATAGTTTGCCTTCATTTTGCCTACAACATAGCTGGCATCAAAATCTCATTCTGTGAATGTGAATATGAGCTGCGTGGTGACAGCAAGATTTTATTTTGCTGACAATCCTGCCACATATTAGTGTTATTCTGACCATCTCCACTTTCTCAGCTACTGGGTACCACTTTTCCCAGTATGACATGTTCCAGACAGCATCATTGCCTGTATAAATTGCAGCAAATTAAAACTGCTGCCATAACACGGCCCCGGCAGCACTGAGATGCTCAAAAGCCTGAAGCAACACCAGCAATCCAGAATACAGTACCAAGTATCTGGAAACCTGTACTCTTCAGTTGAACTCAGCTCTACAAGTCGGCTGTCAAGAAGCCATTAAGTCCAAGCAGATGGGCCGACTTTACAAGGGCAGGATGGTCTAGAAAGTTGCAAGATTTTGCAAACTAAATTTGAAGTGAAAGACTTGAATTTCAGTGCTTTGTATAAGAACTTGGAAGAAACAACCTCTTTGAGATAACAAGGAAAAGTGTTGCAAGTTTAACATCTTTCCGTAGTTTGAAATATTAACATTATCATAAATATGCTAAGTCATAAGCTAACCATCCGTCTCACAAAGCATCACACAGATTCTTGCCCTTCACAGCTATGATCACTGAAAGTGAAAAGCACTCAGATCAATTCAGGGTTTAACAAAGTCAAATTGATTTATTGCTGTCAAGGGTACAAAGGTATATCATTTGCACAGTACCATGATTGCTTAGAGGAAATGTAAAACCGTGGATATAAGGGAACTAACCTGCTCTGCTCAAACACATGTTCAATGCTAGTTCCCTTTGTTCCCTGCAAGTGATGAAATTCCATTCTTATGAAATGGTGAAAAGTTCAGTGGCCAAGGAGTAGAAGTCAGTCTATCAATTCAGAATATTCTGCTACATAGTGGTCTTCTGCTAAGAAGGTGGAGATACTTTCTGGCAGGGGCAGGCATGAACATTGCCATCTCACCGCTTAAAGCTGTCCAGTTGCTTTTAAGGAATAATTAATCATACCCTCCCCTCTTTCCTCTTCCCAGACAGCACTCAATGCCATTACTGATCATCTGCTAATACGAAATATGATTGATTCCCATTTGGAGGAACCCACATGAGTTTTTCCCACCAAGTGTGCATAAAATTCAGTCTGTATGAAATGACTGACAGCCAAAAGGGATACAGCTGCAAAACATAAACATGGAAGAGCTTTTAGTCAGAATACTTTAAATGAGATAACGATGTTATTAATGTCCCTTTCAAGAAGTCACTTATAAAACCACAATCAATTACTATAGTGATTGTAGTACTATATATAGCAATATACTCAAGTGACAGAGATACTGGAAACCAGCTATTATTGGCTAGAGATAGTAAAATTCTCCTTGTTAACATACATGGCTTTTTCCCTGGATCCTTTATAGCTAGTCTCTCTACATATGTTTAACATAAATGGCCTAACACTTAGACTATAAATTTTCCAATACCATGTTTTCATGAGACCAAATCTCTAAGTCCCTGTGTCCCTTCCCCAGTGTCCCAGGATGGGTACCTGTCCCAGTCACACTAACCCTACCTTTCATGCAGCCACAAATGAGAAGCAGATCATTGAGGTGCCCTGGACAAATCAGAAAATGAGTGCAAAGTGTACAAAGCAACATCAGTTCCCCAAGTTTAACTAAGTGATGGAAACCCCTTACACTGGGATTATCCCAGCAGGCTTTGCCTTCCTGAACCACAGTGTGGCTTCTTTTGTGAAGTTTTGGACTGCATGGTCCTTGGCTCTGCTCTGGGGCTGCCAGGTACTACCAAAGACAGTAAACAAACAGTTAAGATATAAGGTCTACAAAATACATGATCACAAACACAACTGCATTTTTGAAGATTAATGATAATGATTAAATCCTTGCCCTGAATTAATAAGCAAGGTCCATCACTGGCATCTTCTAATAAATCACTTCCGCTTTTAAAACCCCATCTATTTTCCAGGCTAAAACATTCCATACGGAAGCCTTCTAATTCAAAAGCAGAGACAAAAGCTGGACAACCAAGGACAGTGAGGGACAGGCTAGGGCACAGGCTAGGGTGGCTAGGCAAGAGTCCTGGCCAAGCCACTGGAGGTAACTTCTGAGATGATGGCAGCAGCAGGTCAGGGGAGCCTCAGGCTGCTCCAGCTCAGGAGGTGGGCTGGGAGGCAAAAAAAAGCAAGGGCTAAGGGACTGCATGTGCTCTGGGAGGCAGGATTTGGGATTAGATCATATAGAAACAAGGGTGGCTTGCAAAATGGAGCAGCAAGGGGAAACAGCAGGAGAAAAGAAAGACAATGACTACAGTCAATGTTACTAATTAATGTTACAATGCCAGTGTGTGTCCTTACAATGTCGGTAAGGATGACAAGAGGCACAGACTTAACCCACAGAGGAAGCCTTCAGCCCAGTATCTCCAGACTTGTCATCATTTAAATATACTTCCTTAATAATGTTTGTTTAATACAGTTCTTGTATGTGGTATTTATATTGTCTGAATTGCTAAGGGCTCATTTCCTATAGGGGACATGGGAATTAAAACTGAATTAGCTCCCCAATGATGGGTTTCAACATGAAGCAATGGGTTTGCCTGGTCTGAGGTACCCGCAGGCTGGTGTTCTGCAGGGGTGATGCTTTGTTTTTATTTTTCCCATCTTCAATTATTGCAGTGATTTTTCCAATGAAATAAATGTTTGCCCTGCTGAGCAGTGAGCAGACTCCCCTGTGTGTGATCAGCAGTATCCTTTGTCCTAATGGAAACCTGGTGCTTGGGTGTGATAAAGTGTGATGGAGTTTATTTAAAGACAAGTTCATTAAGAAAAGGGAGAGTTTATTTTTAAGAATAATCTTGTGGTGCAGGGAGTGAATAGAGCTTAGAAAGGATTTCCCTGAGGTGGCATTGGTGTGAAAGGCTACTTGGGGAGAGAGCCACAATGATTCAGTTTCTATGGATTAAAGATGCAGTGCTCAGCAGAGGATATGGTGGGGAAAAATACCTGGGCTGTGAAACTTCAGAGCTCCCAGGGAAGTGAAGGACAGGCAGAAAAAAATGCTGCTTACATCAAGAATCATCAAGAGCTCTCCTGTGTATGGACCAGATCAATCAGTGGTTGTGGAGGACATGTGAATCCCATGGTATCTTCTGATACCTTTGAGTGTGCTTGTGGACCAGGTGGCACTTGCTAAGGAAAGCATATAGATTGCAATTGCTTCCGAACTGTGTTCCAGATTGTAGAGAAAGCCTCTTTGCTTTATCCTCTGGTCAAAGAAACAGACATAATAAGTGTGCAAACTAATAAAGCCAAGATGTGGCCTGGCAGAGAGGACTCCCATGAACAATTTGTGAAGAAGATTTGAACTGAAGTTTTTGCTTTAGGCTTAAGCAACCAAATTGGCATTTCCAACGCAGTAACAACCTGAAGACTGATGGATGAATTTCCATCTGGCTTGTCCAGCCTATTCTTAATAAACAGGCCTGATATTTTCTCCAAGGCTATTCATACTTTAAAGCAGTATCTGAAGATTGGAATCAGCTTTGGGGGAGACTTCTGCTGTGCCTCAGGTAGAATTTAAAACTCATTTTGCTAACCCAGAGTCTACGATGATACAGATTTGCTTTCCTTGGGTCTATTCACAAAACGCAGGTTTTTTCTAAAGTTTCTATTTTGGTTGTTCCCTGTTCATCTCATTCAGGAGACAGCACTCCAATTGCTCAATAAGAGCATATGTACCGAGAGCTAAGCAGCTGACTAGCTTTAAGATTGTAACTCCTCATTCAAATTTTAAATTCTTCATTAGCTTGCATGTGCAAACTCTCACCACAGCCTAATCCAATCCCGCTGGTGTCAGTGAGAATGGGTTTTACCTCTCAAATTTAGCCATCTAAAAATCAGGCATGTATTCTAAATTCTACTGTAGAGGAGCCACTTGTAGTCAAAATAGAGAAAGATCAGCATTTCCAGGATGTGATTTTCACCATCTGCCTGAAAGACTTGTCTTGAGAGGGGACAAGTGTGTTTCTGGCAGCTGCTATCTCATGCCCCTGCCTGTTGAGGGAGCCTGTACAACTAGAGTTACAACTCCGTACAAGAGTACAACTCCTTAAAAGAGTACAAGAAGCCTGTACAACTCCTTACTCTTCAAAAAAGTAAAGCCAGGGGAAGGAATTGTTCTGTTTATTTTAATGGAAAAGGATTCAGGCTTTCTGCTTTCTACATCCTTTGTGCCAAAATAAATTACAAATGAGTAAATGAGGTCCCAGACGGTATCCCAAGTGGCATCTTACAGACCGCTATCTCTGGCTTAAGTCAGCATTTGGGATGTATGGAAAATACAGATGAATTCCTGACACAAAATTAAACCTTTTTGTACCTTGCATTATACTGGACTGCCTGACAGGGAGCACAGTTTGATAGAAATCTCAAAGCAAAGGCAAAAGCTTTTTGTCTGCCTCCTCTACAGACACACGCAGTGGGAAATGTGAAATGTCAGGAATAATTAGACAAAGCTATATAAGCTCCTAGCAACACTGATGTGCTGTGTAAAACTAAACGTTTGCCATAAAGCTTTAAACGTTGTTTGAAAGCTGCATGTTAAAGGTAACCTGAGTAATTTTTAAGTATTGTTTCCAACATGTTAATCTAAACAGGGATATGAAAAAGCAGAATAGAAAACTATGAAATGCTGGCATGCCTTCACTGAGATTACTGCTCTTTCTTTTTTTCCAGAGATGATATATAGAAGTAATTGAGCCCTCTCGTATAGCAATTAAAATGAAAAGGCAGATTTCCTCAGCTCTTCATCTGCTGGAGCCTATTCAACAAGATGGAAAAGGAGTAGCTCCTAGCATCAGTAATTCACAGATATCATAGAAATGATTGTTGGAAGTGATCTCTGAAGGTCACTTAGTCCAACCTCCCACTTCAAGGGAGATCTCCAAAACCAAAGGAGAAATAACCACACCAGTAGGAAATCTGGCCTAAAGTGCCCTTTGGAGAAGAAAAAGAAATGAACTATGAATTGCAGATAAAAAAAGAGGAGAAAAGGCAGCAGAGAAGAAAACAGGCCAAAATTTTTATTTGAAGTGGTAATATTAAAAGCTTATGACTTTTTGACAAAAGGCGGGGTTTTTCTAGGTTCATTAACAGATGTGGTTTTGTCTTCTTAGGAAAACGATGAACAGGAGAAAACTTGGAAGCTTTTTGCTGCTCTGTTAAATATGGGATTATAAAATAATAATTAAAAAAAACTGCATCTGAAGCATCTCTGTCCCTCTTCCAAATGGGTCACTTCTGAACCTGAAACTCTTCCTTACCTGAAGCAGCAACTTCTTTCACTGTGCATCCTGGAGGGGAAAATGAATTTCACAAATTGCACCACTGAAGCCAATGTGGCTGCGAAGCCAAAAACAGTAACTGAAAAGATGCTTGTTACCCTGACCTTGGCCACAATCACAACCTTGACTATGCTGCTGAATTCTGCTGTAATTGCGGCAATCTCCACAACCAAGAAGCTTCACCAGCCGGCAAATTATTTAATATGTTCACTAGCTGTGACTGATCTCCTCGTTGCTGTTCTTGTCATGCCCTTGAGCATCACTTACATAATGATAGATAAATGGACTTTGGGATATTTCATCTGTGAGATCTGGCTTAGTGTCGACATGACCTGTTGCACGTGTTCAATCCTTCATCTGTGCGTCATTGCTCTGGACAGGTATTGGGCAATCACAGATGCTATTGAATATGCCAGGAAAAGAACAGCAAAAAGGGCTGGGCTGATGATAGTCACCGTGTGGGCTATCTCCATTTTCATATCAATGCCCCCTTTGTTCTGGAGAAATCACCACAGTGTCAGTATCCCCAGCGAGTGTCGCATTAAGCATGATCATGTCATCTACACTATTTATTCCACATTTGGGGCATTTTACATCCCCTTGACTTTGATTCTGATCCTGTACTACAGAATTTATCACGCTGCAAAGAGCCTTTACCAAAAGCGGGGTTCAAGCCGCCACCTCAGCAACAGGAGCACCGACAGCCAAAACTCCTTTGCCAGCTGCAAGCTCACACAGACATTCTGCGTCTCGGACTTCTCCACATCTGACCCAACCACAGAATTTGATAAAATCAATGCATCTGTGAGGATCCCTCCTTTTGAGAATGACTTGGACCTGGCTGGTGACCGGCAGCAGATCTCCACAACACGGGAACGAAAGGCTGCTCGCATTCTGGGGCTGATTTTAGGTGCTTTCATTTTGTCCTGGTTGCCCTTTTTCATCAAGGAGCTGCTTGTGGGACTCCACATTTGCACTGTCTCTCCAGAAGTAGCAGACTTCTTGACCTGGCTTGGATATGTCAACTCCCTTATCAACCCTTTGCTGTACACTAGCTTTAACGAAGACTTCAAGCTAGCCTTTAGAAAGCTCATCAGGTGTCGAGAACATACTTAAAAGTACTGGGAGATGATGATGCTGACAGGACTCCTGGCCTTAAGAATGAGCAAAATGATTTAATTCTGTCATCATTTCCCTCGTTAAAGGGGATTTTTGGTTTTGCCTATTTGCTTGACTTGTCTTTAGCCTGTAATTCATTCTGCCGTTTTTTACCTCCAGTGTTATTCGTGGTAAAAAGTTTGAAATAAATTTATTCTACAAAGGAAAAGATTTTTTAGCAATGAAACAACAACAAAAAGAAACTATTAGATACTCGTGTTTAAGACATTTTGTGTACTCGGTGATTTGAGAAGCAAACAACAATATTCACTTTTATACTTTTTCCATTTAAGAATCAAATGTCTAAATTACCATGCACTGTAAAAATATAAAGGCATATAAACTGAACCCCATACATGCATATTCAAAAATTAATAAACACTTCATGGGCATGACAGCTAAACAACAAATCTCAACCATGGCATTCTGAGAAAACTGTAACAGCCATTTAGAAGGAAAATAACCATTTCCAGGAATTCTTCAGGAATAAACTCCCAAAACACAAAGCAAAGTTCAATTCATTCCAGCTAAAAATGGATCCCATTTTGTACTCCAGAGGAATTACTCAAGTGGCTCTTTTTGTGTAAGGTTCTGGATTTATGGTCAAAGTATTGGGCAGACCCCTGTGCAGTTTATTTGGCAACTGAGAGGATGCAGCTAGCAAGTGTCACACAGGAGACCAGCTGCACATCTGACTGGTCACATTTTTGATACCACTAAGTACTTCTTCAGGGCTCAGACCTTGTGCCTTCATTAGTTCTTGGATGGTATTATTCGCTTGTGCCACAATTCTCCTGGACCTTGCAATGCAGAACCCCATGGATTGATTCATCTTACCCCACTGACCTAAACCACTGGATATCTTCTCAGCAGGCCACCAATATATAGAAATTCAGAAATAGCATCTAAACCCAAATTACTTTCTGTTTGAACAGTAGAAAAAAAAATAAGTAATTTTTTACATAGCAGTCTGCACATCTGCCTCTTATTATTTGCAATGATATTCTTGTCAGATTGACCCCTGATGAGGTCCTGTGGCAGGATCTCTTGTTCTGGTTGTCCTTCACAGAGTTACTCGCTTTGTCTTGAGAGACAGACATGACAGAGAGTTTCTTGTATCCTGTCTTCTGTGCTTATGGAAGTTGAAATGTCCTGGTTCAGATATTGTGGAAATCAGACTGGGAAAAGGCAATATCAAAGTTGAGAATCTGTTATTGTCCATTAGCAACTTCTAAACTCCATTTAAATACCAATTACTTACCTTCAGTGTAATTTTCTTCCTTCTCCATTTTTCTGGACAAGCTCTTTTTGAATATACTGATATAGAAATAGAAAATACCACATACATCAACCTGACATCCAGTAACAGCGAACTATAGCATGGCAGCTCCAAATCCATCAAAACAAATATTAGAGGTAGAAAAAGTGTTGTAACAGCATTGGAAGCCATCTCTGGAAAATGTTTTGAAAATTTACAAGATGACAGTCATTTTTCTTAGCAAGAGTCAAGGAAGTGTAAGTAACATGTGAGTAATAAACTGCATATGGAGCTGAGAAATGACATCCTTATTGGTGAGAGAAAGCATTCAGTTGGAAAGATGCAGAGCTGCAAGCTGAGTGTAAATCAAGTCCGAAGGTGACAAAAATGGGACCTACTACTTACCCACATGCAGTGGGATTCTGCTTTAAGGACTCCAAGTTTTCCATGCCTGAGTTTAGAAAGTTGATCTCCAGCTGCCCTTCTGAAGTTATTGTCACAGCTGCCTCCTCCAGCTGCCTTTGGCTTCCATACTAGCTTATATTAACATCTAAAAAGAGGGGGGCAAAATCTCAGTCACTGAAAATGTCTTCTAGTGAGGAAGCACAAAGATCCATTATGATTTTTCCTTTTTGCAACTTGTTGGATTTGCAAACTGCTGATAGAAGCTGGGAAAGAGTGGCCTGACCCTGCTTATCTATAAAACTTCCGAAGCAGTTCCCCAGAGTACATATGCTATTGAGAAAAAAATAGCTGGGAATTAAAATAAAGAGTAGTATTTGTGAGAACTGCTGCAGAATAATTCTGTTTTTCCTTTCAGCAAGCTCAATGGAAATGATAAGTAAAGAACAAAGATTGTGCACAATTTCCCCAAACAAGGTGGCTACATAAGGGAAGACAGGACACACAGGCAGTTGTTGCTGGAAGAGAGTAGGTTTTGCTGTCCCTTTGGCAAAGTCCCTGCTACAAGGCTGCCCAGCTACAGTAATGATCAGAAAGGAAAAAGTAAATGCGCACTGCTGTTATGCAGTGTGCAGTCACGTTTCTCATTGAAAAGTAACAGCTCAGTTAATTCTGTCATCTATACTGATGCTCATTTAAATCCAGAAGCATGTCTGAAGGACCAGAAATGGTAAACATGACCTCCACAGCAGATGTTGTAGGTTGGTAGAAATGTTTCAGTCAGGTATGAAAGCTGTAAAATACAGGAGCTGCATCATAATTTCTACTAATGTCTTTTTTTAGTATCTGATCTCCACTATTACCATTCAGACTACCAATCAGGTTGAAGACTGTATTCAGTTTTAATATTTAGAGGTAATTAACAGGAAAAACCAGATGGATGGCTAATTTTCATGCTTCCCTGTTAAATAAAGACTCACCATTCACTGCCAGCTGACTACTGCTTTTCTAATTAAGTCATTAGCTAAACACAGAGCTATGTTTTCCAACAAATGCCACTAGACTGATAAAAATGTCCTTTACATTTTCTTCATGCTCCAAGTCAGGAACAATTTAAAGGATTTGTTACTTAAAAGAATTTAACTTGATCAGAAATTACCTGTCATCTCACGGAAATAAAAACTCTTGCTAGTCTGGCACCACTGCTTGGTCACTTCGGGTTTTTTCTGTGTATTTGCTGAATTTACAAAGGGTTTGGAGGCATTTCCTGAACTTTAACTTCTTATCAATGGTAACTTGCCATTCATACCTATCCTGGATCAGGCCCAGCCACACAACACTCTGCAATGCTCTTTCCAGCAGGCTCTTAATGATGTATGCAAGACCTTCAGCCTACATCCATCTTCCTTGGCCTCTCTAAAACATCTTTCATCCTCAAAGTCTTATTTTCCCCAATGCTCCCCTTGTACAGTTGTCTTCCTACCTTTCTTCCTATATTTCTCCAAAGGTTTTTCCTCCACAGTCCTCTGCTTTCTACAGCAGGATTCATACAGACCTGCCTGTTCAGCCCCTCGTCACTTGTACATATTTCCTCTGAGTGCTGTTTCCTTCTATTCTTACATCCCACTCACCATCCTGCCTTTAGGTTTCTGACTCTCTCTAATCCCTAAATTTACTGCGGTCCTACTGCAGTGACCTCCACTCTCTCCCCCTGTCTCAGTGCTCTTATCAGGATTCCCATGACTGTGGGTGTTCAGGTCTGTCAGGTGTTACTCTGTCACACGTGTCCAGGCCATATCCAGAAGTTTCTCACTCTGTAAGCAGCCAGTGCTTTGGACTGACTTTATATATCCCTAACCCTAAAGACTGCACCCATCAGTCAGCTGGACTCCCCAAAAGACACTCAACTCCTGCTCTTCTGTGCCAACCTCTTCTCCTGTGACAACCTCAGGTCTCTTCTCTGCAAGCTTTGTCTTCACCACCTCCATGCAGTGAAACATCTCTCCTGTTCCTTACAGCTGAGGGGGGTATGGCCTTCTCAAACCCACTTCTGACATTACTCCTGAAAGTCAACATGGGCAATGGAGGAATTATTGTGCATGTATTGTCTGTCCTTTTTCTGTGTATTTCCCACATAGACAACATCCTCTCTGAGGTGAGCTATCTCTCACATAGCACATCCTAGACACAGCAAAAACATGTCAAGAACTGCATATGTCCTGAGCCACTTTGATTTAAAGCTGGGGGTTCCCCACCACAATAATATACTGAGCTGTTTGCAGCACATTAGATTAATTTTATTAATCTTCCTGAATGGAGGTATATGAGGAGATTGAACTTTCCAAAAGAGTTTCTAACAAAGTTCCTGTTTCACCAAGTTTACATAAAAGGCTGTCACTATTCAGACTTCACTGCCATGTACCTGAGCTGTCCAGTTTTCCATAGCTGTCACTTCTTATTTCTCTGTGGGGCCAGCAGACTCTGACTTTTGCATGTACCAGGAGGGAACGGGGGGGACACAAAACACCCTACACACACATAACACCCCCACCCCCACCCCCCCAAAACAATCAAAACAGTGCAACAAAAACACACGCACCCCAAAATGAAAAGTGTCTTTATTTTGGAGAAGGTGTTAAAAGAATAAGGGAATCTTTCCTAAGGACTCTATTTCCACTACTGTTTTCAACCCCATTTATCAAAAGGTAAAGAGCATTGCAGTGTTGAAGGGAAATACAGGCTTCCAGCACAAGTGCAGAGGTTGTCCTTGTGCCTGCGTATTTTTTAACCATTGCAAGTATCAGTAACAGACAGGCTGGTTTATGTTCTTCTTTGACCCATCCAAATGATTTGTATGAAGAATTGTCTTAAATTGTTTAAGGACACACAGCAAATATTGTGATATCTTTTATTGGTCTAGTCAATACATTACAAGTTGTATTTCATAAGAGTCCCATACAACACGTACTGCCTTTGTATATTTGTATATACTCCCTCATTGCTGTTTTGAAGCCAAAAGAATGAATTCTTTTTAAATTATCTGACTTTGGATAAATGTTCATCAGCTGTAAAACTACTCTTTAACATTCTCTACTTCATAATATGTACATAATATTGCCAACATTGCTCCCCTCCTCCCTGCCACTGCCAGGGGACTTTTACTTTTTTCCTCAATTCCATGTAGGTGATTGCATGTAGATGATTTTATATGATTAAATTACTCCTTCCCACTCAGCCTAAACTAGCCATTTACTATAATTACATTAATGTAAGTTGGAAATGATCTCCTGCCATGACTATCAGCTCTGGAGAACAATTTACAAAATTTCTCATGGTTTAATGTCTCACCTCCCCCAAGTACACAATAACTCCACTGCCAATGACTGATCAGTGAGTGTGTCCAGGAAGAATTCTTCCCGTTTCCATGAGCACTGCATCAGCTCTTAAAGGTAAACTTTTAGTGTTGCTAGTGTAGATAGAAGACGTAACCATAACCAAGCTATGGACAAAAAAAAAAACGTATGTTAGCAAATCTTACGAACCTCTGCTCAAAGACCTAAGGGAGAATGATTTGTTTCAACATTTTTCCTTCTTAATCATCAAATTATAGAATCATAGAGTGGTTTGGGTTGGAAAGGACCTTAAGATCATCTGGTTCCAACCCCCCCTGCCATGGGCAGAGACACCTCACACTAGACCATGTCGCCCAAGGCTCTGTCCAGCCTTTCTTTGAATCACTTTTATTTCCTCCTCATCTCACTATTTCCTGGTCTGTGGCTATTAATTATTTTACCCTTCTGTTTCTTTTCTCTCTCTTCTTCCTTTCCTTTGCAGCCTTCCTCAGCACCACTATGGCATCTAGTAACCTGTAACAAGAAGCAAGGCTACTTCATGCCATGTTGATACACCTAAGCCTCATCCTGCTCTTGATTTTAGGAAATCGGTTTGCAGGCTCTGTTCCATGGCACTGCTCTGCACAGCCTCTGATACTGTTTTATTGCAGTTTTACCCCAAATCAGATTTCTAATGTGCATCAAGATTCTTCCAAAAGAAAGATGCTGCGTGATACACCACAGTGTCTTCCCATGTGTCACAATTTTTTAAGACCTCTCTTTAGTAACATTATCACTACTCCTTTCCCATGGGGCTTCTAACAGTAGAAACTACAGTTCCCAGATGCAGTAGGTGATGTTGGAAACGCACCCTTGCACCACTCCATTCCTCCCACTCTGCCCATACTTCATCCTCTTCTCTTCCAATTGCTTGCACTGCATTCTTAAACTACATTAGCATATAGATCAGCTCACTGAAGTTTTCGTGGATTAATTTGCTGCATGACAAATTCTGACCCTCATTTCTATCTGGTGCAAAATCCCATGTCATTGGGGTACTCAAATCTTCTAAAGCACTATGTATGCCCCCCATGCTCATTTCGTACACCACATGACTGCAAATGGGAGACATTTCTATGAGCTGAGGCATTAAGCACTGTCTTCTTGCAACTACACTTTATAAAAGATGTGTGTTTTGTCAGTTAAGGCACAAAATGTAACTTCTGGGAAGAGAGAGGACAGAATTCCTATTCCTTTGTATAAATTGTTGCTTTGTACATCATTTGAAATGACTCAGCTTCTGGCTAGCAATTTAAAGGAGCACTAAGAAGCAAAACACAGAATCACACGTGCATGCCTCAAATACCTGCAAAAAAGTAGAGTGACCTTCCAGTGGATTTTACAATAAAATCTTGTTTCTCTCCAAAAGTTTCTACAGTGACCTTTTCAGGGGAATGGAAAGTTCCACACAAATGACTTCCACTTCTGTGATGCCACTAGAAATAATATCTCAGTCCTCTACGGGAGGAACAGCCTGCCAAGATGCTAGGGTGCTGGGATAAGCCTTGACAAGCTTATTTCTACAATAAATAGAAAATCAGGCTAACATCTCCAGCCTTAGGGGCTTTATATTGCAGAATTTGACCCCTGAAATCAGATTTATCAGCTAGAATTTTACTTTTACTCATACATAGTCTGTAATTTTTTAAATTTTGTAATAAGAAAATACACTTATTTTTGAAATTTCAGGAGGGTATTTTTTGTATTATGACTGGACAGTCATTCTGAAGCAGGCAGAAAAAAATAATCCAATTAGTTACAGAAGTTAATCTAGGATTGCAAAATGAGGCATGGTTGTCTTGGTCTGATGCTTGCATATACACACAAGTTACAGGTCATAATCCTTTAATTTTTCACTACAGCAGTTTTGCTCCTTACGAAGGAGCAGGTTATCTGTGGTTTCAATTAAGATTGGTAGGAGGCTGTACCCCTTCTACCCCTACCATAGATGCAGAGCCCATGGGCAGGAAGGGGATTGAGACCTGCGACTGCAT